AACATCACTGTTGGTTGGTTTTGAACTTTTTAAAACTCTTTATTTTGCAATGAACACTATCACTTGACAAGACACCGGAAGTGTTGAAACAAAATGGACATTTTTGTAGTGATGCTATAACATGCTTGCCACTCCCACAATAACCAATTTTGTAACGGACCATGCCTAAAAACACACGTAAACCGAGATATAGCCTGTTCCTAAAATTTCGCTTGAAGATGAAACGGGACTAAACACCTCAATTCAACTTAATTTTAATAATTATTTGGATGGTTTCGGCTCTCGTTTTTGAAACATGAGAACTCTTATGTAGCGAAGAAATCATATTTTTAAACAAAAAATATTATTATATATATATATATATGTATATGTATATATATATATATGAAGAAATATACTCTTAAGATGTTCTATATGGGATAAAATGCTCAATATCAGGGATAGAGTGTGCGTAAATATAAAAAGTGAACACTTACAGCCGACACGCTGTTTCATGCTAGACGCAATCGTCAGGCCACCCTATATATATATATATATATATATATATATATATATATATATATATATATATATGCATACATATATACATACGACAACGTGACCATGTTTAAACGGAGCGCTGATCTTATAAAACTTTCAGTTATCAGTTTGGATAAGTTTGTTCTTATGTACAACGTCTTTGTCATGTTGAATTGATAATGTTAATTATATTTTATGAATATGTACTGAAGATGGTTTATTTTACTTTCTGACGTTGACATATTAACATTTAAACAGCATAATTGCATATAAGGATTTTTGTTTGTTTTTTCCGTATGTATTTTTCTTCATATCAGATCTATATCCATATTTTTAATATGGTATATATATATATATATATATATATATATATATATATATCATATATATATATATATATACTTATATATATATATATATATATATATTTATACAAATATATTATATATATATACATACATACATACATATATATATATATATATGTATATATATATATATACATATATATATACATATACACATATATATATATATATATATATATATATATATATATATATATACAAATATATATATATACATACATATCACATATATATATATATATATATATATATATATATATATATATATATACACATATACATATATATATATATATATATATATATATATATATACATATATATATACATATATACATATATATATATATATATATATATATATATATATATATATATATATATATATATATATATATATATGCTAAGGACTTAAAGACTTTTCAACAAGAGAACATTCTGAGAGCAACTTATGAACTTTTTGAATATTATTGTATATTTTATTTTGAGAGATATAAATTTTATCAGTACATGCGATACATATTTTTATATTAATTATCTTTGCATGTATTTTTAAAAGGTCATTAATTGGTGTATATTTGGCCTAAGGACGTTATCCAAAGATAACCAACTGTAAATAAATAAACCCCTACTTCGATGATTTTCACATCTCCACATTAGTTCTCCGACTACCACACTGGCAAAGAAGCAAGTAGTAAAAATAGTCGACCCGGAAAAAAGCAAATAGTAGTAACAACTGACGCAAGTGAACACTCAATTTCGGGAATGTTAACTCAGCATGATCATCTCAAGAAAATTGCCAAACCAAACTACTCAAATAATGAGAAAGAAGCGTTGGCCATAATATGAACGACAAATAGGGCTCGTCAGTTTTTGATTGGAAAGAAGCCCCTCCTAAAGTCCGACCAGAGACTTTTAGAATTCATATTTAATCCTAGGAAGGAACTTCCTAAGGTAACGTCATCTAGAATTTTAAGATGGGTCTTAATGTTAATGGCGTTTGACTTTGATATTGAGTACGTGAAAGGCAATACCATTTTCGCATGTAGGCGCTTCGTCTAGTTTGAGGTCCATTACTTCTGAAAGTGAGAAAGAGTAGAAAAAAAAATCCGAAGTTACTTTCTTACACTTACTCTTAAACTGATATTTTGTCGATAGACGAATTAGCTGATGATACGAAGCGAGATCTCATATTGAACAGTATATATTTCAGGACAACAAAATAATAAGTGGAATAATAGCTCATGTGCAGAAAGGCGTTTCAAAGAAGTTAAACACAAACTAACTGTAGAAAAATGGTGTTTGTAATGGAGACGTAGTGGTTCCGCCAGCAATGCAAAGTAGCAAAATTATAAAAAAAAGTATACATGACGATCTTCATTTGCGGAATAACGTCTACGCAAAGGAGATCAAGGTTAGAGGCATGGTGGCCAGGCTACTCTACAGATGTAGAAGAATATGTAAAAAGGTGTAAAACGAGCATTGAAAGAAGAAAATTCAGACAGACAAAAACACATACATAACCTCAAGAGTCTCAACCTTGGATCATACTCATGTTAATGGAGTGGGAGTATTACTAATACTGGTAGGTGCGTATTCAAGCTGGCCAGAAGTAATACATGTCTCCAGTTCGATCGTGAAACAAGCGTCAAGGATAATATTTTCAAGAAATGGAATTCTAAAAATGCTAGTATCTGACAACGTCCCAGAGTTCTGTGACAAAGAACTATGTCAATGGTTGAATAAAATTGGATGCAAACCATATAACCCCCCTGTACCATCCTCAATCAAACGGATTATCAGGAAAGATGGTGCAAGCTATAAAACACGTGTTGAAAATATGTGTACAACGGAAAGAAAAATGGAAACATTTCTTCCTAAATTGTAGCTAAGCTATGGAATAAAGCCCGTCCGCCCTCATGGGTAAACAAATTAGGGCCTCATTGATCTTTTTTATGCCACCAACGAAAAACTGTGATATAAAAAGAATAGTGGATCTAATTACAAGAGGCAAGATTCATAATGCAGTGTGGAACGTTACCATAATGGAAAAAATGGAAACGGTATATTAGCGCATGCAGACGAAGTTAGATTGCAACACGATAACGATGAAGAAATGTGCAGTGATTCTGAAAGTAATGAAGGTGAAAGTGTCATGTCATTACAAGACAAACATGACAATGAAATCGAGAACAGTATAGACTCTGAAGATGAACAATCGTTGGAGGAAAACTCCTATGAAAAAAAGAAAAAAAAAGAAAAAGATCACAATCTCCCATATCTAGACGATTTCTTAAGTAGAAGAAAAGATGGTAAAGAGACAAAAGGTTCCAGAAGAAGTACCAGGGAAAATAAGGAGATAAAACCTCTTTGGTACAGGGCGATGAGGTAACTCATTTACATAGGAAGTCATAAAGACTATAAATAGCTACGGCTATTACCCATGAGGCAGTTGAAGGCATACTACTTCCCGTGAGCCAATAACACTACACATGTAGTATAGAAATGATTTTACTTCAATATTTTTATTATTTCAAATGTTATTATATTGCAGGTGTGGCAAAACTTGTTTAATGTAAGAACCACAGACGATAAAGTTCAGATGTTTGGGAGCCGTAAGACATGAACAAAATTTACACATACGTTTTTGTTACATAGACATTTTGTTACAAATATTAAGAAATACATGGCTGCAATAATATTTATTCATGTATACAGTTTTTTAAACTGTTAATTTGTATTGGTTTCTATAATCACAAAGTATATATATATATATATATATAGAGAGAGAGAGAGAGACTTCTTTTATGTTTATACATTCTTTTTATAGATACAAATATTTAAGTAAATGCTCTGTTTATAATAAACAGTATTAAACAACATTTACCGGCCTGAATGTCCGAGAAATTTTCATAGAAAATATGCGTCCTCCGACAGGAATCGAACCTGTATCCTATACGGAACCGTCATATAGCCTGACATGCTTTACCGATTGAGCCACAGAGGTGCGTTTCGTTTAGAAAAGTCGATTTTACTGTTTTTAAACTACAATTCTCCACGATTTTCCCTCGTACATTCATATCTGCTCGATGCGTACCCAAATGTAAATAAATGACGTCACACATTATGAAATTGTCGGACTTTGTTCGTTTCATAATGTGTGACGTCATTTGTTTACATTTATATATATATATATATATATATATATATATATATATATATACTCAGACACAAATGTTTTCAAAATCTTAACTGATGATTGTTTTAACTAATATTGAGTGCATTTAATACGGTAATGAAGAACGGGAACTTCAAAGAAAAATATGCGAATTTGCATTTCTATAACTGTTGTGTACGATACACCTAATTTACATAAGTGGAGTACCGACCATATAAATATGGGTTGGTACCGGAAGACGAAAGGAGATTGTAAGAAGAGATCGAATCCAGAGACTCTGCCCGACTGCGATTTAGTCAACCCATTATGCAGGAACAGTCTTCCCAAGAATATACCAAAACTAACTGTAAATATTGTGTACCTTTTCCTTGTTTCAATACATTTTGTTAACGTACATTTTGTGTTGTATTATTATTATTCCATGCTTATCCAAGTTTCAACAATAACATAAAATTATATATGCACATGACCCGAGTGTGGTCTCCTTAATTTCCTTACCCCTGCCTTCAATCTTTTGTCATTCCTTTGTAACCCTTGCTGATCGGAAATTTCTTTAATCCTTGCTGTCTCCCACTATTCCTTTCCTCAGCTCTAAAGAACAATGCCCCAATCAAATTTAGCATTAGAATAAATTCTTAAATATTTTTACCAATCATGAAGATTAAATTTGTATTGGTTTCAGTAATTAAAGTATATATAACCCCCCACCCAATGTTTTCAAAATCTTGAGTGGATTGCTTTTATGGGGCTCAGCCAACGTATTTCCAGGAGTCACATATTAAAAGAGTCAAAGAGCCACATGTGGTCACCTCTGCCATATTATAATTCTGTGGGTTCATTAATTTGTTGGCACGTACATTACGCCCTAACAATAACTCATAAATAATGGGACTTTTCTGTAAGGGAAGTTGAAAATAATGTATCACGGTTTGGTTTCACTGAAAAGAAAAGAGAAAGGAAAAAGAAAGAAAAGAGAAAGGAAAAAAAGAATAAAGAAAGGAAAAAGAAATGAAGAAGAAAGAAAAAAGAAAGAAAAAAGAAAAGAAAAAGAAAGGAAAAAGAAAGAAAACAGAAAGGAAAAAAACAGGAAAGATTAAGGAAAAAGAAAGGAAACAGAAAGGGGAAAAGAAAGAAAACAGTAAAGAAAAAGAAAGAAAACAGAAAGGAAAAAATAAAGAAAAAGAAAGAAAACAGTAAGGAAAAGGAAAGAAAACAGAAAGGAAAAGAAAAGAAAACAGAAAGGAAAAGGAAAGGAAAAAGAAAGGAAAACAGAAAGGAAAAAAGAAAGAAAAGTGAAAGAAAAAGAAAGAAAACAGTAAGGAAAAGAAAGAAAACAGAAAGGAAAAAGAAAGAAAACAGAACGGAAAAAGAAAGAAAAGAGAAAGGAAAAAGATAGGAAACAGTAAGGAAAAGAAAGAAAACAGAAAGGAAAAAAGAAAGAAGACAGAAAGAAAACTGAAAGGAAAAAAGAAAGAAATGTTAAAGAAAAAGAAAGAAAACAGTAAGGAATAGAAAGAAAACAGAAAGGAAAAAGAAAGAAAAGAGAAAAAGAAAGAAAAGGAAAAAAAAGAAAAGAAACAGAGAAAGGAAAAGAAAACAGAAACAGGAAAAAAGAAAGAAAGAAAACAGAAAGGAAAAAAAAAGAAAGAAAACAGAAAGGAAAAGAAAAAAAAAGAAAAAAACAGAAAGGAAAAAGAAAATGAAAAAAAAGAAAAAGAAAAAAAAGAAAAAAGAAAAAGAAAAAAAGAAAAGGAAAAAAAAGAAAACAGAAATGAAAAAAAAAGAAAGAAAGGAAAAAGAAAGAAAAGAGAAAAAAAAAAGAAAAGAAAGGAAAAGAAAGAAAAAAGAAAGGAAAAAAGAAAGAAAAAGGAAAAAAAAAAAGAAAAAAAGAAAAGAAAAAAAAAAAGAAAAAACAGAAAGGAAAAAGAAAGAAAACAGAAAGGAAAAAGACAGGAAACAGTAAGGAAAAAAAAAAAAAAAAAAAGAAAAAGAAAGAAAAGAAGAAAGAAAAAAAAGAAAAAAAAAGGAAAAGAAAAGAAAAGAAAGGAAAAAAAAGAAAACAGAAAAAGAAAAAAAAGAAAGGAAAAAAAGAAAAAAAAAAAAAAAAAAGGAAAAAGAAAGAAAACAGAAAGGAAAAGAAAGAAAACAGAAAGGAAAAAGAAAGAAAAGAGAAAGGAAAAAGAAAGAAAAGAGAAAGGAAAAAGAAAGGAAACAGTAAGGAAAAGAAAGAAAACAGAAAGGAAAAAAGAAGGAAATGTTAAAGAAAAAGAAAGAAAACAGAAAGGAAAAAGAAAGAAAAGAGAAAGGAAAAAGAAAGAAAACAGAAAGGAAAAAGAAAGAAAAGAGAAAAAAAGGAAAAGAAAGGAAAAGAAAGAAAACAGAAAGGAAAAAAAGAAAGAAAAGAAAAGGAAAAAGAAAAAGAAAGTGAAAGGAAAAGAAAGAAAAGAGAAAGGAAAAAGAAAGGAAACTGTAAGGAAAAGAAAGAAAAACAGAAAGGAAAAAAAAAGAAAGAAATGAAAGAAAAAAGAAAGGAAAAAGAAAAGAAAAAGAAAAGAAAAGACAGAAAGGAAAAGAAAGAAAACAGAAAGGAAAAAAGAAAGAAAACAGAAAGGAAAAAGAAAGAAAAGAAAGGAAAACAGTAAGGAAAAGAAAGAAAAAAAAGGAAAAAAAAAAAAAGAAAGGAAAAAAAAAAAAAAGAAAAAAGAACGAAAAAAAAAGAAAAGAAAGGAAAAAGGAAAAGAAAAGAAAACAGAAAGGAAAAAAGAAAGGAAAAAAAAAAAAGGAAAAGAAAGAAAAAAAAAAGGAAATAGAAAAAAAAAAAGAAAAGAAATGAAAAAAGAAAACAGAAAGGAAAAAAAAGAAACAAAAGAAATGTTAAAAACAGAAAAGAAAAGAAAGAAAACAAAATAAATAAAAGAAAACAGAAAGGAAAAAAAGAAAAACAGAAAGAAAAAGAAAGAAAACAGAAAGGAAAAAAAAGAAAGAAATCGAAAAGAAAAAGAAAGGAAAAGAAAAGGAAAAGAAAACAAAAAGAAAAGAAAAAAAAAACAGAAAGAAAACAGAAAGGAAAAAAAAAAAAAAAAGAAAAAAAGAAAAGGACAGAAAAAAGAAAAAGAAAGGAAAACAGAAAGGAAAAAAAGAAAAAAGAAAAGAAAAAAAAAAAAAGAAAAAGGAAAGAAAAAAAAAAAAAAAAAGAAAAAAATAAAAGGAAAAAGAAAGAAAATAGAAAGAAAAAAAAAAAAAAAAGAAAATGAAAGAAAACAGAAAGGAAAAGAAAAGAAACAGAAAGGGAAAAGAAAGAAAACAGAAAAGAACAAGAAAGAAAACAAAATAAATAAAAAAGAAAACAGAAAGGAAAAAGAAAAAAAACAGGGAAAAAAGAAAGGAAACAAAGAAAGAAAACAAAACAAAAAAAAAAAAAAAAAAAGAAAAAAAAAAAAAAAGAAAAGAAAAAGAAAAAGAAAGAAAAAGAAAGAAAAGAAAGAAAACAAAACAAAGAAAAAAAAAAAAACAGAAAGAAAAGAAAAAAACAGAAAAGAAAAAAAGAAAACAAAATAAAAAAAGAAAACAGAAAGGAAAAAAGAAAGAAAAACAGGAAAGAAAAAAGAAAGAAAAAAGAAAGGAAAAAAAAAGAAAGGAAAAAGAAAGAAAACAGGAAAAAAAAAAGAAAACAAAAGGAAAAAGAAAAAAACAGAATAGAGAAAGAAAGAAAAGAAAGGAAAAAAAGAAAGAAAAAAGGAAAAAAAAAGAAAACAGAAAGGAAAAAAAAGAAAAAAAAAGGAAAAGAAAGAAAACAGAAAGAAAAAAAAAGAAAAGAAAGAAAAAGGAAAGAAAAAAAAAAAAAAAAAAAAAGAAAAAGAAAACAGAAAGAAAAGGAAAAAACAGAAAGGAAAAAGAAAAAAAAAAAGGAAAAAAAAAGAAAAAAAAAGAAAAAAAAAAAACAAAGGAAAAGAAAGAAAACAGAAAGGAAAAAGAAAAGAAAAAGAAAAAAAAAGAAAAAGAAAAAAGAAAAAAAGAAAAAAAAAAAAAAAAAAAACAAAAAAAAAAAGAAAGAAAACAGAAAGGAAAAAAAAAGGAAACAGAAAGGAAAAAAAAGAAAACAGAAAGGAAAAAGAAAAGAAAAGAAAAAAAAAAAAGAAAAAACAAAAAGAAAAAGAAAGGAAATAAAAAAAAAAAAGAAAGAAATAAAAAAGAAAACAGAAAGGAAAAGAAAAGAAACAGAAAACAGGAAAAAAAAAACAGAAAGAAAAGAAAGAAAACAAAAAAAAAAAAAAAACAGAAATCGAAAAGAAAGAAAAAAGAAAGAAAAAAAAAAAGAAAAGGAAAAAAGAAAGAAAAAGAAAAGAAAAAGAAAGAAAACAATAGAGAAAAAAAGAAAACAGAAAGGAAAAAGAAAGAGAAAAAAAAACAGAAAGAAAAAAAAAAGAAAACAGAAAAAAAAAGAAAAGAAAACAAAAGGAAAAAGAAAAAAAAAAAGGAAAAAAAAAAAAAAAAAAAAACAAAAAAAGAAAAAAAAAGGAAACAAAAGGAAAAAAGAAGAAAAAGAAAGAAAACAGTAAGGAAAAAAAAAGAAACAAAAGGGAAAAGAAAGAAAAAAGAAAAGAACAAAGAAAAAAAAAAAAATAAATAAAAGAAAACAGAAAGGAAAAAGAAAGAAAAGGAAAGAAAAAAAAAAGAAAACAGAAAGGAAAAAAACGAAAGAAATCGAAAAAAAAGAAAGAAAAGGGAAAAAAAAAAAAGAAAACAGAAAAGAGAAAGAAAGAAAACAGAATAGAGAAATAAAAGAAAACAGAAAGAAAAAAAAAGGAAAAAGAAAGAAAAAAAAAAAGAAAAAAAAAAGAAAGAAAAAGGAAAGGAAAAGAAAAAAAAAAGAAAACAGAAAGAAAACAAAAAAAAACTGAAAAAAAAAAAAAAAAAAAGAAAAAGAAAACAAAGGAAGAAAAGAAAGGGAAAAAGAAAGAAAAACAGGAAAAAAAAAAAAAAGAAAAAAAGAAAAAAAACAGTAAGGAAAAGAAAAAAACAGAAAGGAAAAGAAAAGGGAAAAGAAAAAAGAAAAAAGAAAAGAACAAGAAAAGAAAAAAAATAAATAAAAGAAAACAGGAAGGAAAAAAAAAGAAAACAGAAAAAAAAAAAGGAAACAGAAAAAAAGAAAGAAAACAGAAAGGAAAAAAAAGAAAAAAAAAAAAAAAAAAAAAAGAAAACAAAAAAGAAAAAAAAAGAAAAAGGAAAAAAAAAAGAAAAAGAAAGGAAAAAGAAAGAAAAAAGAAAAGAAAACAGAAAGGGGAAAAAAAAAAAAAAAAGAAAGAAAGAAAAAAAAATAAAAAAAAAAAAAAAAGAAAGAAAAAAAAAAGAAAACAGGAAAGAAAACAGAAAGAAAAAAAAAAGAAAAAAAAAAAAAAGGAAAAAGAAAGAAAACAGAAAGGAAAAAGAAAAAAAAAAAAGAGAAAAAGAAAGAAAACAGAAAGGAAAAAAAAGAAAACAGAAAAGAAAAAAAAAGAAAACAGAAAGGGGAAAAGAAAGAAAACAGAAAAAAAGAAAAGAAAAGAAAAAAAAAAAATAAATAAAAAAAATAAAAGAAAGAAAGGAAAAGAAAGGAAAAAGAAAGAAAAAAGAAAGAAAACAGTAAGGAAAAGAAAAAAACAGAAAGGGAAAAAAAAAAACAGAAAAGAAAGAAAGAAAACAAAAAAATAAAAGAAAACAGAAAGGAAAAAGAAAGAAAACAGGAAAGAAAAAGAAAAGAAAAAGAAAGGAAAAAAAAAAAGAAATCGGAAAGGAAAAAGAAAGAAAAAAGGGAGGAAAAGAAAGAAAACAGAAAGGAAAAGAAAGAAAAGAATAGAGAAAGAAAGAAAACAGAAAAGAAAAAAAAAAAAAAAAAAAAAAAAAAAAAAGAAACAAAAGGAAAAAAAAAAAAGAAAATAAAAAAAAAAAGAAAAGAAAAAAAAAAAAAGAAAACAAAAAGAAAAAGAAAGGAAATAGAAAGGAAAAAAAAAAAAAAAAGAAAAGAAAACAGAAAAGAAAAAGAAAGAAAACAAAATAAATAAAAGAAAACAGAAAAGAAAAGAAAGAAAACAAAATAAATAAAGAAAAAACAGAAAGGAAAAGAAAGAAAAAAAAAGAAAAAGAAAGATAACAAAAGGAAAAAAACGAAAGAAATCGGAAAGGAAAAAGAAAGAAAACAGGGAGGAAAAAGAAAGAAAACAGAAAGGAGAAAGAAAGAAAACAGAATAGAGAAAGAAAGAAAACAGAAAGGAAAAAAGAAAGAAATGTTAAAGAAAAAGAAAGAAAACAGAAAGGAAAAAGAAAGAAAAGAAAAAGGAAAAGAAAGAAAACAGAAAGAAAAAAAAAAGAATACAGAAAGAAAACAGAAAGAAAACTGAAAGGAAAAAAGAAAGAAAAAGAAAGAAAACAGTAAGGAAAAGGACAGAAAACAGAAAGGAAAAAGAAAGGAAAACAGAAAGGAAAAAAGAAAGAAATGTGAAAGAAAAAGAAAGAAAACAGTAAGGAAAAGAAAGAAAACAGAAAGGAAAAAGAAAAGAAACAGAAAAGGGAAAAGAAAGAAAACAGAAAAGAACAAGAAAGAAAACAAAATAAATAAAAGAAAACAGGAAGGAAAAAGAAAGAAAACAGAAAGGAAAAAGAAAGGAAACAGTAAGGAAAAGAAAGAAAACAGAAAGGAAAAAAGAAAGAAAAGTAAAAAAAAAAAAGAAAGAAAACAATAAAGAAAAAGAAAGGAAATAGAAAGGAAAAAAGAAAGAAATGTGAAAGAAAACAGTAAGGAAAAGAAAAGAAACAGAAAGGGGAAAAGAAAGAAAACAGAAAAGAACAAGAAAGAAAACAAAATAAATAAAAGAAAACAGAAAGGAAAAAGAAAGAAAACAGGAAAGAAAAAGAAAGAAAACAGAAAGGAAAAAAACGAAAGAAATCGGAAAGGAAAAAGAAAGAAAACAGGGAGGAAAAAGAAAGAAAACAGAAAGGAGAAAGAAAGAAAACAGAATAGAGAAAGAAAGAAAACAGAAAGGAAAAAGAAAGAAAAGAGAAAGAAAAAGAAAGAAGAAAGAAAGAAAACAGTACGAAAAAGAAAGGAAAAGAAAGAAAACAGAAAGGAAAAAGAAAGAAAACGGAGAGGGAAAAAAAGAAAGAAAATGAAAGAAAACAGAAAGGAAAAAAGAAAGAAAATAGAAAGGAAAAAGAAAGAAAACAGAAATGAAAAAGAAAGAAATCAGAAATGAAAAAGAAAGAAGTCTGAAATGAAAAAGAAAAAAAACAGTAAGGAATAAAGAAAGAAAACAGAAAGGAAAAAGAAAGAAAACAGAAAGGAAAAAGGAAAGAAAACAGAAAGGAAAAAGAAAGAAAACAATAAGAAAAAGAAAGGAAAAGAAAGAAAACAGAAAGTAAAAAGAAAGAAAACGGAAAGGAAAAAAGGAAAGAAAATGAAAGAAAACAGAAAGGAAAAAAGAAAGAAAATAGAAAGGAAAAAAGAAAGAAAACAGAAAGGAAAAAAGAAGGAAAACAGAAATACAGACACACGCCAAATGCTTACAAAATCTAGGCTGATGATTGTTTTAATTATGAGTCTATTCAATACGGTAATGAACAACGAGAATTTCAATAGATAATGTGAGAATTTGCAATTCTATAACATAAAATTATATATGTACATGACGAGAATGCTGTCCCCTTAATTCCCTTACCCATGACTTCTGACATTACTCTGTGACCCTTGCTGACCAGAAATTTCTTTCATCCCTCTGCTCCCCACGATTCCGTCTCTCGGTACAAAAGAACAATGCCTCACTCAGATCAAGCATTAAAACTAGGATTTAAATTCTTAAATATTTTTACTAACCATGATCATAAAACTTAAGTTTTAATCTAATGGGATCTCAATTGATACCCAGTAAATAATTATAGCTTGAATTTTTTCTTATTTACATTTTATATTAATTGTGATGAAAAAACGGAGCTCAGCCAAAATATTTCTACGAGCCGCATATTAAAGTTCAAAGAGCCGCATGTGGCTCGTGAGCCACGGTTTGGTCACCCCTTTTTATAGTGGATACTCGTATTTGAAATAACGGACCCAATTTTATTTTTAATTTAAACAGTGTCTATTACATCTAACATCTATTCAGAAAATCTTAAACAAAATGTGCTCTCTGACAGGAATCAAAACTGCACCCCCTTTGTAGGAGAAACCATCATTTGGTCCGGTGTGATTTACTGCTTAGCTACAAAGAGTGTCATAGTTCAGCAAACTCTATTTTCCCTTTCAAGGAAAGCACACTAAGATATTTTCTTAAAACTCATATCTACTCAGTTTTTCATCCGGAATGTTAAACAAAGCAATTTCTCTGTCCATAATTCTGAGATGACGTATTGTAACTATTTATATCGTTCGAACTGTTTGTTCTTCTCCTTATTGCTATATTCACGACATTTCAGCCGTTGTATGCTCTGACCTTCTTTAGGTGATATATGTTGAAATTTCGAACTGTATCCTTTATTTAGTCCACGGGGGTAGAGTGTTCTACTTCCACATGCCATGCCCTTTTTGGATATCTCAGTATCAGTTAATTCCCTTTAGAAACTCAACTCTCCAATCTTCTTATCCACCGGGCCAGTGGATAAAAGCGTTGGTTGAGTAATCTCAAAAGTGACTTGACCCAAATAGTTGTGAGTTCAATACCTGGCCACAAAAACTTGGAGAGTTCAGTTTCTAAGGGGAATTAACTGATACTGAGATATACAAAAATGCATAGCATGTTGATTTAGAGCAATCTACCCCCGGGGACTAAATAAAGAATTCGGTTCGACTTTCCAATGTATATCATACAAAAACATGAAAACCAATATTCCTCAAACTCCACAAGATATTCAATAGACGCGTAGTGAAATCATCTACCGAGAACATGACACAAATAAAAAAGAAATAAAAAGAAAAGCACAAAAGAAAAAAAACCAACAAACTACCAGTACAAACCAAACCCACCTGTAAGTGCAGAGCAAAGAATGAATGTCCCTTAAACGATGGTAGCGTTGACGATTGCAAAAGGAATGCCTGTGGCGGGTTGAGTATGACGAGGTGACGGTGGTGGGTTGCTGAGGTGACGAGGTTGGTGTAGCGGGTTCACTGGTGTTTTACGAAACGGTGGTAGTCCGAGTGGGTTGCATGCTTGCAGAGTCGGACTCCATACAGTGAGTCGGGTTTGCCTAGTTGACGGCGTCGTCGATAAGTAAGGCTCGTAACTGAATGATATCGACGTTGAGATCATATCAATCGCGATGATTGGCGTTTTTGCGCATTGACAAAGGCGTTTATATTGAAAATAAGTATTTACTTTTAAAAGCGTTTTTTCTTCATTAAATTTTATTTATTGATATACCCAAACATGTTCCTGTTTGAATTTCTGGGTTGAGGATTTACCATTATTTATATTATCTACAGTTGAGACAATAGTTAACAGGACTAAAATATTGGGTATTGAATTTGGTGGCACCATACTCACCTGATGTTGTACTTGTAGAATCAGACTTCTACATTAAAAGTGGCTCAGAGCGGAACTTATCTCAAATCAATCCAAGTAGCCAACAACCCATTAAAATCGGATCCATACGAGAAGTAACTAAAAACGTTTTCTGATTTGTTGATAAAAAAAAACATACGTTCTCAACTACTTATGCATCATATCAGTTTAGTGTTTATCCTAAGCAGATACAAAATTTGCGGCAAATTTCTTGGAGCCTCCCACGTGACTTGAAACATCAAAAAATACGAAACATCATTCTACTTCGACAATGAGTCTTATGAATTTTCTCAACTAAACACACGAATCAGTGTCACATATTTTACCAGGCTTAAAATTAAATTCACTTAACATTTCCACAGCTTGCAAAGTACACTCACTCAACTACATAAACTCAACAGAAGACTTTAAGTGACACATTCAAAGAGATACAACTTCATACACAGAACAGTAAGTCGAGTACAATATTACAAAATTCAACACCAAAAACAAACTGTTTAATTTTCCTACAAACACAAAAATATCTTATCAAACTTACCTATTTTTGTACACACAATTACTCAACTGTTAATCTTTCACATAATATCTTCATAAACACTTCAATCCACACAAGAAAAAACTTTGAATCAATTTAAACAACTCTCAACATACAATTTTGTAGCTTCTATTGGTTATATAAAAAGAATATTTATTGTTGAACCAAAGTATTGTTTCATATCGTTATTTTGTCTCTTTTCGTTTGTTTGCTTTTTGCTATATTTGTGAAGTTAAAAAAAAGTAGCGGGTTAATCGCATTACCATCAACCCTTTACAGATTGGTAAACCCGTCTTGTTGGTGGTATTAACACCCCCCCCCCAAACTTTTTGATTACCACTTGTAATTTTTTCGCTAAAAATATTTTAATGGGAAGAATTCTAACTCTCTGGGAGTCTTTAGAACCCACTTAGACCAATTCAGCATCCAGAAAGATACCAAGTTATGGGAGATGCCAAGTTTTGATATTGGGGAAAAAAAGTCATATATGTAGTTGCATAACTATGAAGAAACATCTAAATTAGTGATTGTCAACTGCTGTAGCATGCGATCCTATTAAATGTGCTGCGAAATATTGTGACGGCAATGATGTGTGGAAGTAGTGATGGTACAACGTTAATATTTTAATAAATTAATAATTATTAAACATTTTTTCAAATAATTCTTTTCACTATTCTTATGTTAGTTATTTTAAAAATAATTTGTTTGAATTAATTTTTTAAGAGTATTTTTTATTTTTTTAGTTTAACTTTTAAAATTTTCCTTTATTTGAATAAATGAATATTAACCTTTTTTCATATATATACATATAATTGTATTTGTCGGAGTTAGCTCCTCCTTAATTCCCAAATTGTCACTACGGTTCATTCTCCCTATACTATGAATACTGGACGACTTCTCGCCTCGTTCTCTTTTTCATTTCTTGATTTCAGCGACTATAATGTATACTCTCTTAGAAGATCCGCGTTTTCCCATTTGTGGGAGACGCCATGAACATTATACACACATACACATACGTACGAACATTTTACCTAAGAACAGACACCAATGTTTACACACACACAAATGTTATTGTCCATTGTAAAATTGTTTTGTTAAATAAATATATTTGTTTATATATATATAATGAAATGGACAAAGTCCGACAATTATTTTAAGACATTTTTATGTTTATACATTCTTTTTAAAGATACAAATATTTAAGTAAATGCTCTGTTTATAATAAACAGTATTAAACAACATTTACCGGCCTGAATGTCCGAGAAATTTTCACAGAAAATATTCGTCCTCCGACAGGATTCGAACCTGTATCCTATACGGAACCGTCATTTAGCTTGACGTGCCTTTAACCGATTTGGCCACAGAGGAGCGTTCGGTTAGCAAGGTCAAATTTACTGTATTTGAACTCCAATTTACTGTATTCGACCTTGCTAACCGAACGCTTTTTTTTAGAAAACCTTGTAGAAATATTATTTTGTGACTTTCTTTCAATCACCACCACCAAATAATTTTCAATGTCTTTTCTCTACTTTTCAATTTGTGGGGAGTTAGAGGGTTTTCGTCAATTTTTATTTTTTAAATTTTTTTTAAGGTTATGGATTTTAAAGTTGTTTGTGTGTGTGTGTGTGTGTGTGTGTGTGTGTGTGTGTGTGTGTGTGTGTGTGTGTGTGTGTGTGTGTGTGTGTGTGTGTGTGTGAGGTGCGTGTTCACATGTAAACAGAGATAGAAGCCATATAAAAAAACTTGGGTTTCTACCACGGACGGTTTTTCTCTTTTTCTAAACTGTAGTGAAACAAAGTTCTCAATGTCTCTTAAATATGTCAGTTTTTGTTGTGGATTCCGAGATGAAATTCGGTCTCCAATGAATGACAAATGCAAAAAATTAAATATAAGAAATAAAATGTATTTACAGAATAATACAAAGGGTAATACTGTTAGTAATCCAGGAACGCGGTTAGTAGCAATAACATATAGATATATACAGTATCGAAGTAGGACTTCCTTAGAGTCTACGTGCTTGTAACTGACTTCTACAAGCGGTTACCTCACACTATTACTCTACCTCCAACTCAATCACAGTCTTAGTCTTAGTTTTCTTACTATCTACTCACTCTATTCTGACTGACTCTATAACTCTGGGTATTTAACGGCAGCAGTCCAAGTAACACTCTGGTCGAGCCCACTTATATGAAAAAGGGGAGGACCCCATAACACCCCCTCCTTAGATCCCCTTTTGTGGGGAGTTAGTATTTTTGTCTCTTATGGTTGATAATCAGTGGTTCGACAAATTTTCTTTTCCTGTTTGACCTTCTCACTTCTGTGTCTTCCTGCGGTCTTTGTATCTCAAACGCTTCGAAGATTGTATCCATAGATTCGTCGTTTTCTGCGATTGGCGAGCTTTGCTCGTCAACCCTTCTTTTCTGTAATTGGTCGATATGTCTTCTATGTGAAAACTTCTCGCCTTTTATGGTGTACATTAGATTTCCTAATCTATTGATTACTGTGCCAGGCTCCCAGTAAGCCATATTGTTTCTAAACATTTTAAAATAAACCCGTTCTCCAGGTTTGAATGATCTCTTTGGTACAATCGGTGTATACTGGTTTTTGTTCTTGTTTGGCAATAATTTGTCAAACACTGACCTTATTCTCCGTGCAAACATCAATTCCGCTGGTGAAAGACCCGATGGCGTGTTCACGTTAGGTGTTATTCTGTACACTTGGAGGAATTGTTGTATAGCTTTTATCGTCGGTACATCCTCGGCTTTTTTAATGCTCTTTTTAGTGTGTCGACGAATCTTTCAGCTTGTCCGCTCGACCTCGGGTGGTACGGAGCTATCTTGATGTGTTTTACTTGGTATGTCTCACAAAATTCTTTAAAGTCACTGGAGGTAAACTGTGTGCCGTTATCGCTTACCAAGCAATCCGCGACGCCAAATCTCGCGAATAGTTCGTGTAACCAATTTATGGTGTTTTCTGTCGTCGGGTGTTTAAATCTAGCAACCTCTGGCCATTTACTAAAACTATCTATTGTTATTAAATAATACTAACCTTCAATGGGTCCTGCGTAATCCACGTGGATTCTGGACCACGGTCTGTCGACTTTAGGCCATGGCCTTTGTATAGAGGGTGGTACTTTCGCCGCAGAAGCACAATCTTTGCAACTTTCCACCATTTGCGTGATATCATCGTCCATGTTCGGCCAGTGGACAAAACTTCTCATAAGTGATTTCATCCGGTTTTTTCCGGGATGTCCTTAGTGAAAATCTTTTAAGATCCTTCTTCGTAGTGACTTTGGTATTACTACTCTCTCGTTATACAATAATATGTTGTCACAGATTGAGAAACTGTCTGCTAATTTCCTCACTTTCTCTTCTATTTTTTTCTTGGTATCCTGAATAAACTCGTCTCTTTCTGCTTCTCGTCTTATCTCTAGCAGCGTTACAGGTAGTTCCTTTATTGTATTGCATAGTACCTTACTGATTTCATCTTCAGCTTGTAATGCTGCAATTACCGAATCTTCTAACAATTCGCTTTCGCAGGTATTAATCGCGATAGTCCGTCAGCGTGTCCTATTTTCTTTGATGATAAGAATTCCAGTTTAAAATTATAGTTTAGTAACACAGTTCCCCATCTTAAAAGTCTGTTCGCTGTATAGACTGGTAGACCTTTTTTTGAACTGAAAATCGTAAGAAGTGGTTTGTGGTCCGTTTGGAGTGTTAACTCTCTCCAATAAATATATCTGTGAAAACGAGTTACTGCAAAAATTATGCCTAATGCCTCCTTTTCGATCTGTGAATAGTTTCTCTCCGCCGGTAATAATGATCTAGATGCGTGTGCAACGGGTTTGTTTGTACCGTTCCGCATCTTGTGTAAAATACACACACCTACCCCATGTGAGCTCGCGTCACTTGCAATAATGATTTCGAGTTCGGGATCGAAATGTGTCAATGTTAACTGAAGTTAATTTTTGTATTATTTCCTTAAATGCTTTTTTACAGTCCTTTGTCCAATTCCAATTATGCTTCTTTTTTAGTAACTCATTTAGTGGAGCCCTCAGTTTATGCATATTATCAATAAATTCGCCATAGTAGTTAGCTAGGCCCAGGAAACTTTGTAGTTCTGCAACATTTTTTGGTTCCGGCATATTTTTAATTGCCGATGCTCTCTCTGGGTCTGGTTTCCTGCCATTTTCATTTATTATCCGACCTAAATA